AAGAGGAGTCGAGTGGGGCCAACCACGCCCATGGAGCGATAGGTCTTGTCTTGTCTGGCCTCTTCCTCTTTTGCAAGACAGTTCTCCGTTTGTAGATGGTCAGAATGCAACCCGTTTTTTTTTCTTTTTTTTTTTTTTTTTTTGGATTTTTTTTTTTTTTTTGCTCCTTTCCTGGCCTCTGTGGACAGCAGAGAGATTCCTGCCGAACAGTACTGGGCAGGAACATACATGAAGTGCAAGATTTATCAAGCAGTTGCCCTAAAAATCACCACTATCTTGGTTGAAGTAGACACATGGCTAAAGAGCAACTGGTCTAAGGAAATGAGAACTAAGCATGCCAGTGCATGTGGTTCGATTGCTCCCAAGTTGCTCCTCTGCCTGCAGGAACAGCAAAGAAGAGCCACGGGAAATCCTCAAGGCCGTGGACCAAAATATGGTTCCTCGGGGTTCCTAATCCAGAACATAAGAGTCTTTTATTCTTATCTCCGATCAATGACTGGAGATAAGAAGCTATTTACAATTTGGAAGGTGATGACATGGAATACGAACTCTGGTTTATATGCCTGGAAGATGCTGAGGTGGGGCTGACTCATGCGTGCGTTACAGCTGTCCTCTAAAAGCAAGAGAAGGATAAAATAAAATCCCATCCAAAAAGAAAGCAAAGTAGGGAGGGAGAGGGAGAGAGAAATGAAGGAAGGCTGTGATCCTGCGTATTCCCACTTGTCATATTAATTCAGCGCTATATCACTTGTCAAAATTATTTTTAAAAGGCAAGAAGTGCAGATGGAGGGGGCAGATGAGGTTTCTTTCCCCCGATGGACAGACACTTGGCTTAGCTTGACAGAAGAACACAAACAGAACTCTGGTTTTTAAAACAGAGGTACCGTGGCTTCCTCACCCGTATCCCCCCACACATTAAAGAATTTTAACGTTTTTGTGGGTAGGAAGACACAATCGGGATGGGTGGGGAAAGGGTGGTGTTAATAGGTTAGGATTCTGTCCAGGTGAACATTTTAGTGATTGAAAAGTATAGTAGCTAACTGTATAGCTAGTTCAGAATGTATAGAATTATAAATTTTCTATCAAAATCATGGAATCATAGAATTGTGGAGCTGGAAAGGGTCCCAAGAGCGCATATCCTAGCCAGTGCAGGAAATCCACAGCAAAAGCATCTGTGACAGACGGCTGTCTAATTTCTGTTTAGAGTAAAATGCATACAAAAATGTGTATGTTGTGAGGGCAGAACATTAAAAGATAACAATACACATTATGCAACATAGTTTGATGCAGAAATAAGACAAAATGCCATGAAAGAACACCAGCAAAAGCAGGATGAATCAGGAATATCAACAGCTCATCCCTAATTGCAAGGTGCTTCAAAGCACTGGTATTAAGCCAAGATATCTGCGAAACGAATGAGCAAATCACATGCAAAATTATATGCAAAAGATGTAATGAGACAAGCAGACGTTATCATATCAGCACAGCTTGCAAATGTTCCTTTAGGGAAACCACACAAGTCTTAGAACTGGACCTCCCGCACCTCCCGGTTAGCAGGACTAAAACTCCCGATGCCTCCCAACAACCATACCTGCAGGATCCTGGGAATGGTAGTCCTCCCCCAAAAAAAGGAAATTTGCCAAGCTTAAACTGTTACTTTGCCCTCTTCTGCTTCTTCTTCCCTTACCTGTGTATCCCGAGGAACACAAACAATGGAAGCCATTTTCGTCAGAGTGGCATTCCTGGGCACCAGGTTGGTGGCAAGGTTGGGAGAAGCAGGCATTCACCACCCCCTGGCACCGCTCGCCAACATAACCAGGGGGACAGAGGCAAGAAAATCCATCAGGCTGAGCCACACAGGTGCCTCCGTAGTAGCAATGGGGACCAGGGAGGGAACAGGGGTCCCAGGGGTCACAGTGGGGACCTGAGAGATGGAAGGAAGGATGTATTCAGGAGGCTGGGAATGCAGAAGGCCATCTTTTCTAAGGGTGTGAGAAGATTTGTGTCGTTATCAGCCCATCATCCTGCTGTCCAAGGGGCCCAACCAGATGCCTCCGAGAAGAAGCTCACAAGCAGGACAGGGGTGGTGGTGGGGGGCGACAGTCCTCTCTTGCTGCTTTTTTTCCAGTGAAAGATATTTTTTCCACATCAGGAAATCAAAAGCACCACCCCCCCCCCAAAAAAAACCCCTTCTTTGCTTCAGGCCAAGAAGCTTCCTACTCCAGCCTCACGTGTTATTTTGGAAACTGAGGCAGAAAATCTCAAATATAACCTTGATAAGCCAAATAACAAACAATATGATTTCATGCTGGCAGTTACCTCACTCTAGTTGACAGTAGGGTCAGCCTTGCCACTGATTGATAGTCAAAGATATACTGCGTATCCCATGCTTGATACAGGAAGCAACCTATAATCTGGTTTGTAACTAGGAGTCATATCCCTCATGGCAGAATATGTAGTAGCCTAATATAGACTTATCCTTCCCAAATTTTTGCAATCCCCTGTTTGAATTGATGGGCACTGCTATACCTTGTGCTAGAAAATTACCTTGATTCAAATTTTTATTGCCATTTATCATTCCTCTAATTGTACATTGTTAACAAAGGCCAGAAAAATACAAGGACATGCCTTCTGGTTCTTTCTATTGCCCGGTTCTGATATTATCTAATTGTCCAGAATTTCTCCTTTGATTGAATTCTGTTTTATTATTTGATCTTTTTTGTGTACGAATTTTTTTTTTCAATTCAGTACTACTACAAGCCTCCTTCATGGATTGCTGCCTTGTCGTGGCGAAGGGGCTTGAGTAACTCAGAGAAGCTATGGGCTATGCCGTGCAGGGATACCCAAGGCGGACAGGACATAGTGGAGAATTCCGACTAAACGCAATCCACCTGGAGTAGGAAATGGCAAGCCACTCCAGTATCTTTGCCAAGAACGCCCCATGATCAGAAACAAAAGGCTAAAAGATATGACGCTGGAAGATGGGCCCCTCAGGTCGGAAGGCGTCCAACATGCTACTGGGGAAGAGTGGAGGACAAGTACAAGTAGCTCCAGAGCTAATGAAGTGGTTGGGCCAAAGCCGAAAGGACGCTCAGCTGTGGACGTGCCTGGAAGTGAAAGGAAAGTCCAATGCTGTAAAGAAAAATACTGCATAGGAACCTGGAATGTAAGATCTATGAACCTTGGGAAGCTGGAGGTGGTCAAACAGGAAATGGCAAGAATAAACATCGACATCCTGGGCATCAGTGAACTAAAATGGACAGGAATGGGCAAATTCAGCTCAGATGATTATCATATCTACTACTGTGGGCAAGAATCCAGTAGAAGAAATGGAGTAGCCCTCATAGTCAACAAAAGAGCGGGAAAAGCTGTAATGGGATATAATCTCAAAAATGATAGAATGATGTCAATACGAATCCAAGGCAGACCATTCAACATCACAATAATCCAAGTTTATGCACCAACCAGCATTGCTGAGGAGACTGAAATTGAACAATTCTATGAAGATTTACAACACCTTCTAGAACTGACACCAAAGAAAGATGTTCTTCTCATTCTAGGGGACTGGAATGCTAAAGTAGGGAGCCAAGAGATAAAAGGAACAACAGGGAAGTTTGGCCTTGGAGTTCAGAACGAAGCAGGACAAAGGCTAATAGAGTTTTGTCAAGAGAATAAGCTGGTCATCACAAACACTCTTTTCCAACAACACAAGAGGCGACTCTATACATGGAAATCACCAGATGGGCAATATCGAAATCAGATTGATTATATTCTCTGCAGCCAAAGATGGAGAAGCTCTATACAGTCAGCAAAAACAAGACCTGGAGCTGACTGCGGCTCTGATCATCAGCTTCTCATAGCAAAATTCAAGCTTAGACTGAAGAGAGTAGGAAAAACCACTGGGCCACTCAGGTATAATCTAAACCAAATCCCTTATGAATACACAGTGGAAGTAAAGAACAGATTTAAGGAACTAGATTTGGTGGACAGAGTGCCTGAAGAACTTTGGATAGAGGCTCGTAACATTGTCCAAGAGGCAGCAACGAAAACCATCCCAAAGAAAAGGAAATGCAAGAAAGCAAAGTGGCTGTCCAACGAGGCCTTAGAAATAGCAGAGAGGAGAAGGGAAGCAAAATGCAAGGGAGATAGGGAAAGTTACAGAAAATTGAATGCAGACTTCCAAAGAATAGCAAGGAGAGACAAGAGGGCCTTCTTAAATGAACAATGCAAAGAAATAGAGGAAGATAACAGAAAAGGAAAGACCAGAGAGCTCTTCAGGAAAATTGGAGATATTAGAGGAACATTTTGCGCAAAGATGAACATGATAAAAGACAAAAATGGGAAGGACCTAACAGAAGCAGAAGACGTCAAGAAGAGGTGGCAAGAATACACAGAGGAATTATATCAGAAAGATGTGGATATCCCGGACAACCCAGACAATGTAGTTGCTGACCTTGAGCCAGACATCCTGGAGAGCGAAGTCAAGTGGGCCTTAGAAAGCCTGGCTAACAACAAGGCCAGTGGAGGTGATGGCATTCCAATTGAACTATTTAAAATCTTGAAAGATGATGCTGTTAAGGTGCTACATTCAATATGCCAGCAAGTTTGGAAAACTCAACAGTGGCCAGAGGATTGGAAAAGATCAGTCTACATCCCAATCCCAAAGAAAGGCAGTGCCAAAGAATGCTCCAACTACCGTACAATTGCACTCATTTCACACGCTAGCAAGGTTATGCTCAAAATCCTACAAGGTAGGCTTCAGCAGTATGTGGACCGAGAACTCCCAGAAGTACAAGCTGGATTCCGAAGAGGCAGAGGAACTCGAGACCAAATTGCTAACTTGCGCTGGATTATGGAGAAAGCCAGAGAGTTCCAGAAAAATATCTACTTCTGCTTCATTGACTATGCAAAAGCCTTTGACTGTGTGGACCACAGCAAACTATGGCAAGTTCTTAAAGAAATGGGAGTGCCTGACCACCTTATCCATCTCCTGAGAAACCTATATGTGGGACAGGAAGCAACAGTTAGAACTGGTCATGGAACAACTGAGTGGTTCAAAATTGGGAAAGGAGTACGGCAAGGCTGTATATTGTCCCCCAGCTTATTTAACTTATATGCAGAATACATCATGCGGAAGGCTGGACTGGAAGAAACCCAAGCCGGAATTAAGATTGCCGGAAGAAATATCAACAACCTCCGATATGCAGATGATACCACTCTGATGGCAGAAAGTGAGGAGGAATTAAAGAACCTTGTAATGAGAGTGAAAGAGGAAAGTGCAAAAAACGGTCTGAAACTCAACATCAAAAAAACTAAGATCATGGCCACTGGTCCCATCACCTCCTGGGAAATAGAAGGGGAAGATATGGAGGCAGTGTCAAATTTTATCTTCCTGGGCTCCATGATCACTGCAGATGGAGACAGCAGCCCTGAAATTAAAAGACGCCTGCTTCTTGGGAGGAAAGCGATGACAAATCTTGACAGCATCTTGAAAAGCAGAGACATCACCTTGCCAACAAAAGTCCGAATAGTCAAAGCTATGGTTTTTCCTGTCGTGATGTATGGAAGTGAGAGCTGGACCATAAAGAAAGCAGACCGCCAAAGAATGGATGCCTTTGAGTTGTGGTGCTGGAGGAGGCTCTTGAGAATCCCCTGGACTGCAAAGAGAACAAACCTATCAATTCTAAAGGAAATCAACCCTGAGTGCTCACTGGAAGGACAGATCCTGAAGCTGAGGCTCCAGTACTTTGGCCATCTCATGAGAAGAAAAGAGTCCTTGGAAAAAACCTTGATGTTAGGAAGGTGTGATGGCAAGAGGAGAAGGGGACGACCGAGGATGAGATGGCTGGACAGTGTCTGCGAAGCAACCAACATGAATTTGACACAACTCCGGGAGGCAGTAGAAGATAGGAGGGCCTGGCGTGCTCTGGTCCATGGGGTCACGAAGAGTCGGACACGACTAAACGACTAAACACACAAACACACTACTACAAGCTGCCTTGATCCCCATTTTGGGGCAAATAATGGATATAATTCATTCATTTGTTCAGCCATAAATACCTGCAGTCCCTGGTGGGCATGAACAATGGAAACCATCTGAAGTTTTGATACAGGTTCCCCCATTTAAACACTTTGCTCCCAGCAGGCACTGCAGGTGGAAAAAAGTAGAGCAGGGTCATAATAACTATATTAAACGTGGAACCATCATACAGAGATTATTTTCTTTCTGCACTCTTTTCGTATACAGTCGTGCCTTGCTTAACGATTGCCTCGCTTAATGAGGAAATCGTTATACGATTAGGTTTTAAATGGGGTTTTTCATTTAATGATGAATGGTTCCCTGCTTCGGGAACCGATTTTCGCTTTACGACGATCAGCAAATTTCAAAATAGCCACCGGCTGAAAAAAATGGCCCCCCGCTGGTTTCTAGGACAGATTCCTCACTTTACAGGCACCGAAAATGGCCGCCATAGGGAGGATCTCCGCTGTATGAGCAGGTATTCAGCCCATTGGAACGCACTGAACGGTTTTCAATGCGTTTCAATGGGTTTTTTTGTTTTGTTTTACGATGTTTTCACTCTACAGCAATTTTGCTAGAACGAATTAACATTGTCAAGCGAGGCACCACTGCATATAACAAAGTGTATCTGCGGTCCATATAGCATGAATGTTAATAGAATTTATTCCACGAGATATGGATATAGGGTTGTAACCTTATACGCTTTGCACAGCCCTTGGGAAATAGATAGTTTTGGACTTCTTCATTATGTGCTGTTAAGCTGCTTCCAACTTAAGGTGATCATATAAATTAATTGCCTGTAACTAGTTCGGTCATTAATGGCCTTTGTTCAGGTCTCGAACTAAAATTCCCTATCCAGCATTCTTACCACAGCATTTTTTCTTGCACTGAAAAAAAAGAACATCTTTTCCCAGCTCAGTTTTTTCAGTAAATATTTTCTCCCCCCCCCCAATTTTTTAATAAGAGTTTGCAAAAATCCATAGACATCTTCACCAAAGACTAACTAACACAAAGACTTTGAAGGTCAACCAACGTGGAAAGTGAAACAGACACATTAATGCACAGCCTTTAAAGCTCTAGATTTGCATTTATGTGCATTCAGCTACGTTCGACCATCAGGGTTGCCACTTTATTCCCCCCCCCGAGGGAGGGTCCTCATCTTTTTTAACAGGGGGTTCCATGGCAAGGAAGGACAACCTCTTCTTCTCTGTGCCTAGAATAGACCTACCCTTTGAAACTGCTCTGGTGCAGAGGAAGCAGACAGAATTTCCCTGCCATCTGGTTTTGAATAATTTGTCCAAATCATACACAGTGGTGCCTCGCTAGACAATGATAATCCGTTCCACTGAAATCGCTGTTTAGTGAAATCATTGTCTAGCGAAAAGCATTTCCCCATTGGAATGCATTGAAATCTGTTTAATGCGTTCCAATGGGTAAGAATCGTCATTGTCTAGCGAAGATCGGCCATAGGAAAGCCACTTTGCGAACCGCTGATCAGCTGTTTAAATCGCTGTCTTGCGAAGCTTAGGTCCCAAAAACACCTGTTTTGCGAGCATAGAGGAAGCTGTTAAAATCATTGTCTAGTGAAAATCGGTTTGCGAAGCAGGGACCAAACATTGTCCAGCAAAATTCCCCCATAGGAATCACTGTTTTGCAAGTCGCTGTAGAGCTCACAAAAAGCCAATGTCTAGCGAAAAAACTGTCATGCGGGGTAACTGTCTAGCGAGGCACCACTGCATTTGGAATGGGAATGAACAGCATGTACTCAAGCAAAAATCTCAAATGTAAGAGAAGGTGAAACTGACAGATTTCCCTTCCCTTTCACACCCTGCCTAGGAAACAAAATATTTTTTCCCTTTAACAGAAAAGCTGGCCAGGTTGCTTCTGCGTCTCCCTTGCCCCCGGGGGGCCCACTTGCATCCTTCAGACCCAGGGCAGACACCCCAACACCTCCACGTCCTGCACTCACCTGACATCCAGGTCCACCTGCCTGCTCTGTACAGTTGAATTTCCCTTTAATTAACATGTGCTGTCAGCATATTAGCTGTATTTAATTGGTTTAGGCTGAAATCCTCTGCTCAAGTACTTGGATGAAAGTTTTACTGAGCATAGTGAGACTAGCTATAGTATAAACGTACAAGGAACTGATTTTTTTTCCTCAGAAAAGCCTATTGTTGATGGGCTAAATCATTGTAAATGTTGGACTTATAAGAGTCCCACTGATTCAATGGGTCAATTGTATTTCAGCTACAACTTGGATTTTGTTGTCGTCGTTTAGTTGTTTAGTCGTGTCCGACTCGTCGTGATCCCATGGACCAGAGCACGCCAGACCCTCCTATCTTCCACTGCCTCCCGGAGGTCTGTCAAATTCATGTTGGTTGCTTCGCAGACACTGTCCAGCCATCTCGTCCTCTGTCGTCCCCTTCTCCTCTTGCCTTCACACTTTCCCAACATTAGGGTCTTTTCCAGGGAGTCTTCTCTCCTCATGAGATGGCCAAAGAACTGGAGCCTCAGCTTCAGGATCTGTCCTTCCAGTGAGCACTCAGGGTAAATTTCCTTTAGAATTGATAGGTTTGTTCTCCTTGCAGTCCAGGGGACTCTCAAGAGCCTCCTCCAGCACCACAATTCAAAGGCATAGTGCTTTACCTATTCTTATTTCTACCTCTTGTGAAGGCACTGAA